TGTAGCTCAGTTGGTTAGAGCTCTACAACTGTCTCTCTGTAGCTCAGTTGGTTAGAGCTCTACAACTGTCTCTCTGTAGCTCAGTTGGTTAGAGCTCTACAACTGTCTCTCTGTAGCTCAGTTGGTTAGAGCGCTGCACAGAAATCGCAGGACCGCAGGTTCGATTCCTGCCAGGGACCTGTAGTTGCATGTTGCATGTTTCGCAACTGTTCCTGTATGGTTAGGTCCAATCAGTGTTGTTACGAGTCACCTATAGGTCGAGTCACGAGTCGAGTCGAGTCATTTCAGTTTCTGATCGAGTCGAGTCAGTGGCTTCACTCGAGTCGAGTCGAGTCAGCAGTTTCACTCGAGTCAAGTCGAGTCATTGGTTTAAGTCGAGTCAATAGCTATACTTAACTTGAGTCAGGGAATTTGATCAAGTCCACTCACATCCTTGTCCCCAGGGCCTCTCGGCCGCGCGCGTCCTCCCTAGGCCCTGGAACATACGGAACCGGAAGTGCAAGTAAACTTGCAGTAGTTTCTAAAGCGCATGGTCTTGAATTGGGACACTTTAGCACCCGTAGCAATTTTCAAAGCAACGTATTTCGAAGAAACGAAGTATTTGCGTTAACATATGTTGATAGAATAATTTTTCCTAGCTAAAACTGCTCAACTTCTTCTGCGAAATAGGATTTCTCTGAGAAGCCAATCAGATCTCTCGCTTTAGTCGCCTAACCCACAGCCTACTTTTCAGCTTGCAGTTTGAAATTAGTAATCAAATCTACGTTTTAAGCTAATCACTTTAGTCATGTAATAACAGTATCTGGGCAGCTATAGGCTGTACCAATATCACAGTTCTAGTCAATATTAAGTACAACCACATGAGATGTCTCATCATGCCTGCTGATCGAGTGTACGTGTATACAACTAGCATAACTTGCAACTGGAGTCAGAATTAACAAAGAATAGACTTTAATTAAGTAATCATGCTTTGTAAGTTAATTTGAAATTATATTAGCACTTCATAAATACCAAAAATGAGGATAGCCGGTCAGAATTAGCAAAAGTACAAAAAAATTTTGAGACTCCATTTTAAAAACTGTGGCACTAGCGTTGTTTCTAAAAACAGAAATGTAATATAGGCATGCCCGTCAGGAATATACTGTATTCTATGCAAATCCCATATATTTTCTGATAAAGTTTCGACGTTCTCATTGTTCACGGGGCCCATTGTTCTTCCCAAGCAATACAATCGCAATATTTTTGATGAATTTATTCTCTACAAGTTGTAGCTGAGTTACTGTAACTCGAGTCATTTACGGCAAAATCAGCAAGTCGAGTCCGAGTCAAGTCATTTGGGGCTGTTGACTCGACTCGAGTCGAGTCATTTTTCGTTTTGGACTTGAGTCGAGTCGTTGAAAATAGCAACTCGAGTCCGAGTCAATGACTCGACTCGTTACAACACTGGGTCCAATACTGTAAACATATATAAATTTCCACTCGATAATTTCCATATACAACACCCTTCAACTTGTTGGAATACAGGTAGGGTTGTAATTGGTATCAATATCAAACAGGGTAAGCAATTATGCCTACCATTTTGGCCCTGACAAATTCAGTGTTGTTCACTGGCTGGTCAGATTGAAAGCACTGGCTGTATGCCTGGCTGCTTAGATTGACACCTAGCGAATGCTGAAAATGCTGAACATTGACAATTCCAATATCTGCCATTGTTCGCAGGGTTGGAAAAAATGGGCGAGCATGCGAGCACTGCTCGCAGGAAATGTTAAACAGCTGCAGGACATTCGTTTGAATGACGATTTGCTATTGAAAATTTGAAGGAAACCTTAACACCCATGTCCCACTGTGGACGCAACAACATATGGTTGACAGACATTATTTCTTGAATTTAAAACCATGGTCAGCATTAACACTATATGAGTAATGCACCAGTCAATTGAAACTACAGCCCCCCGACCCCCGCGGCATAGGGGGGGGGGGGGAATTAACGCGGTCAGGGCCGTGGTTTAACGCTACAATTTCCCGGGGATACCGGGTATTTAACAAAAATATAATTTGCCAGGGGAAAATAGCGGGGATTTAACGCTCATTTAACGCGATTTATATTCAAAATGGCGGCAAAACAGTTATTTTTAATAAAAAGTTAAAAATATTTTATATCGCTTTGAATACAAACAGTTATCACTGGTAGACGCTGTTTATATATGTAAAGGTTAGTGACAAATTCAAACCCGGCGTGCTCCCTTGATGTGTATTGTCTATTGATAATTTTACTAACGGTTTGTATTAAACGTTCCCCGGTACCGGGGCATTTAACAAATACTTTTCCACCTGTAGCGGGGGAAATGTGCCGGGATTAACAAGGTGATTTGTTAAATTCCCCGCTATGCCGCGGGGGTCGGGGGGCCGTAGTTTCAATTGACTGGTGCATAATTCCATGGTAGTGATAACATTTTTTGAAAAAAAGTTGTCAAGAATTTTCAGAAGCTATTGCAAACAATTCTGAACTGAAAAATTCGGGGCTGACCATTTAACTTTTGAGGAGGGGGGGG